CAGCAAATCAGATCAGCGCTCGTCTTCAAACAGACACTGGTGTGAGAGTGAGTGGCCAGACGATTCGGAATCGACTGCATAGGGGTCACCTTCGCGCCCGACGTCCTCGCGTGATCCCTTGTTTGAGAGATCATCACATTCAGGCAAGACGTCGTTGGTGTAGGGATCGTCAACACTGGGATAATCGACGCTGGAGCAATGTGATGTTTTCAGATGAGTCAAGGTTCACTGTTGATTTTTTGGACAGACGTAGGAGGGTGTGGCGTCGTCGAAACGAGCGCTTCCAAGACGTTAACGTCATCAGACATGATCGATTTGGGGGTGGTTCTGTTATGGTGTGGGGAGGCATCACTGTTGCTGGAAGAACGGCTTTACATGTTGTTGCAGGGCGTGTTACAGGCCAGTACTACCGGGACAACATCTTGGCAGTCCATGTTGTGCCGTTCGCACGACGTCATGGCCGCCGTTTCATCTTCCAGGATGACAACGCAAGATGTCACAGGGCCAGGATCGTTACAGGTTACCTCCAACAACAGAACATCTCGACATTACCTTGGCCAGCACTGAGTCCCGACCTCTCCCCCATCGAGCATGTCTGGGACATGCTTGGACAGAGGTTACGTCAACGTCAACAACGTCCTGCCAATGTCCAAGAACTTGCTGCTGCGTTGCAACAGGAATGGGACAATCTGGACCAAAATGACCTTAGACGTCTCAATAGGAGTATGCCACGTCGGATCAATGCTTGTTTGGCAAACAGAGGAGGATTTACCCGTTACTGACTTGGTTGTGATGCTGTGGTAACTTTGCTGTTTGACCCCGGGTATCATTTTACCCTTATAATGGTCAGTCTGTGCCTTACTTAGTCTAACGATCATTTGGAATAAATCGATGAATGTGAACTTCATTTCATTTTGTCATTTGTTTCTTCGTCAGTTTCATTAGGTGACTTTAATAACACTTAAAAATCAAATATCCCCTACTTTTTTTGAATAGTATATATTGCGAATAAAGAGGGCGAAAGCAGACAACCTTGTTTCACACCTAAAGTCACGTCAAACCAATCTGTTAAATGGTTGTTTACGTTGACCGCACACTTTGTGTTATTGTACAACGAACGCAGTGCATTTAATATCTTCCCGTTCACACGAAATTGCAACAGTTGAAACCACAAGCACTCTCTATCGACATTATCAAACGCTTTCTTCAGGTCTATAAAGCATGCAAATGTGGACTGCTTGACATTTTTCCTGTTATTAATGCCACTGTGTAGGGTATATAGTTGATCCATACAGCTACGTTTTTCTCGAAAACCGCATTGTTCATCCACCAACAGATTATGTGATTCAGTCCAATTAGCTAGCCTCTTATTGAGAATATCACAGTACACTTTACTTGGCACAGATAAGAGTGTTAATCCACGATAGGTGAGAGGGACCAGAGGGTGAGTAGAGTTCGCTTTAACAATGGGTTTTATAATCCCTGTCGTCCAAAGCTCCGGTACAGTTCCATTTTCAAAACAATACGAAATTATGTTGAATAACATGTCGATGCAAACAGTGTTTTTTAAAGCCTCTGATGGAATATCGTCAAACCCGACGGCTTTTCCTCGTTTGAGTCGTGATATAGCATCTTTCACTTCATCTTTTGTTATTTCTTCGTTTAGAATTGCATTATTCATATCGATATTAAACAAAGTTTTATAATATTCTTTGACTGACTGTTTATGTTGTTCATCGAAGTTAATGTGTTCACTATTATATAGTTCACTATAATCTGTTTTCCATTTGTTCAATACATCGTTTAGATCACTGTTGATTGTTCCATTATCATCAATGACTTCAAGGGGTAAGCTTAACTTTCGGTCATTCACTGTTCCGATCTTTCCGAACGTTTTCCAGAAATCACGTGTGTGTTTAACACCTGGGTTCATCAGCTTGTCTGTTAAATCTTGTTGCTTTTGTAGCTGATAACGTCTCTTATATATCCTGTGAAGTTTGTCGAAGTCTCGACGACTGTCACAGTACTCTCGTTTGAATAGTTGTCTCTCAGCGCTATTATGTTTACATCTTAACCATACTTTCTCTTTCCTGCACATATCGTCACGCATAGCTTGCAATGTTTCATCCCAATAAGGTTTAAACACACTTTTACTTTTGTTCGTGTCACCCGAGGGAATAGTTCTCTTTAATCCACAATTATCCATTTCTACTTTGAGAAAGTTCACAAGAGTTTCATAAGCTGAATTCACACTTTGGTTTCCAAAAATTTCATCTTCTATTCTGGCTATTGTTTCGTGTATCATCTGTTGAGTAGACTCATTCTGTAAGAAATTTAATGGAAAGTTTTTCACATTATAAGAGTTCACTTTTGCTAATCGCTTGGGTTCGTTTTTATTGATTTTCGGTAACAATAATTCAGGTGTCTTCATTGACCACTGAAGAACAGAGTGATCTGGTGTAGTAATCGGCACAGCTAAATTGTGTTCATTAATTATATCAGTAACTGTTTTAACTTTAAACTCAGTGTAAATCGATAACTGTTCATGGGGAACGAATACATAATCCACAACTGACTTGCCCTTTATAGATATACACGTGAAATCATTTCCAGAACCAACTCGTCCGTTTAGCATACACATATTATTATGTAGGCAGTCTGATGTTTATAATCTAAAACTTGCGAACTACAATTAGAGGGAGATAACTCTATTACAATATTATTATCAATAATCAAACCATGGATCAAACCAGAGATCGCGACACGACAAACTATCGAATCATCTGTACAGTATTGCTGGAAGGCGGTTGCATGGGGCATTATCAGGCCTAATAATCCAGGCAATGAATGATTTTATTGGAAAAATGATGTCAAAAATGAAGTCATGTCCTTCAAGTTCGACCATCAAATTTAATATGAAAGAAATCCGTGCCAGTCATTTTGTCAAAACCAAATATTAGTATTAGTAGTCCTCAACTTCCATTATTAATAGAATTGTCCTCAGACCCGCATTGGGTGAGATATAGCATCATGAAATTTATATGTTTTAGCATATAGCAAAAACTACGTCTCAAAATAAATTCCTCATAGCCTCAAATGGTTTCAGAAAAATTTAATAGTCATATATATTGAAGTAGTAGATATGATCATTCATAAAAAATAATTTTAAAAAGATAAAAAATCAATAGACAATTTATGGGAAATATTTGAATTTAGGGATCTTTTTTTTTTTAAAAAATGACGTTTTTTTTAACTCTAAAATAACCATAGCTGGTTATTCGTAACTACAAGCAAAGTTTGGTCAAAATCGCCCGACACCGCTTGTGCCATTTTTTTTAAAAATTTGCATGATTCTCTCGCGAACTCATTCTTAATTGGTTGCAAGTCTGCATGATTACTTGATGCACCAGCATTATTAGTAGGTCTCATTACACTCGCCCTGTACGTTCAGGAACTGTCCAATCGAATCCTTGTCGGAAAAGAATTGGCCCCCAGTCAATTTTACTGGGCAACTTTTTATTGCTAATCAATTGTGTGCCAGTCTCTGCAAACACCGGAACAATGTAAAGAAACATTTTAGTGTGAAAATAAGTCCTTGCTTACCTCGCTAGAGTCAGTATGTGCAACACAACATGCTGTTAAAAATATGTCCCCTTCTGCTAAACGGCTTGGCAGAAGCCATTGATGTCATTGCAATTTTAATATAAGGTAACACACACATTTACGTAACTCGGCCATATAAATTATAAGACCAATCGAAATTTAGGTAAGCAGGTGAAACAAAGTTTTATGTTATTTTTAGAGCAAAAGTATATCGTGGTTGACTTATTTCGTCTAATTAGTAAAATAGTAAGTACCTGATCAGACATAATAATTGTGTAGCAATAATATTTTCAGTAAGCTGATATAGTGATAGTGAAAAAACTTCAATCAGTCAGGACTCAGGAGGTAATTGGTAGTTGACTAGCTAACAGGATATGCACATTTTGCTTGACACGACATATACTGGATGTGGAATGGCCTGCCTATGTTTTTGTTACCCCTAAGTAAAGTATGGTTGTTGTTTAGGGTGTTAACTTTTTTTTATTTGTAAAATAAAAAAAATTTAACGCCCTAAACAAATTATTTCTGTAGTTTTGTAACTCCATGTGGAATGGCCTGCCTATGTTTTTGTTACCCCTAAGCAAAGTATGGTTGTTGTTTTGGGTGTTAACTTTTTTTTATTTGTTAAATAAAAAAAAGTTAACGCCCTAAACAAATTATTTCTGTAGTTTTGTAATCGGAGTTCCCCATTAACGATTTTGAAAAAGCAAAGGCCATGATTAGATGTAGACAGTAAAAGCCAAAATGTTTATGGTGATCTGGCAAACAGACTGAGCAAATACTGTGCTGAACATGAAATGAATGAATGACGGTCTATTAGTTATTGTTATAATAGATGACTATATGTTGAATGATTACTTCGATGCCATATCATTCAAATAATAAATGTGACATATTGATAACTATTTGTTAGAGAGGATAAAATTTGACCCCATTTTACGGTTAGATGGTAAAAAATGACATAAACAGGGGCGTGTTTAGGAATTTGAGCAGGGGAGATCCTCGGTGGAGATTACGTCAAGTTTGGCATGCAGTCTAGGGGATTACCCGAGAATTAATAAAATCAGATGCTCTGAGACAATATTTCTGCTCATTTAGATGCAGACCTATATAGGATTAGAGTGGAGTGAGGCCACAATGGTGATAGTGCTTTGCACATTTGTTTGTTCGTCATTGATTCGATAAATGTAGAAGAGAAAAAGTTTTGGGTTCTGGACATGCGCCAGAGAAATCCTTGGTACCTTTTGATTATGCCCAAGACAATTTAATCAGTATATGAGTAGGGTGTAAAATTTCAAATCTTAAGACTTTGTGAAGAGCAAACAAGTACTTCTTGGTATTTAAATTTGGACCATAGTGTATAAATAATAGCATAAATTATGTATTCATTATTGTAGACATATATCTTTATTATATACGGATGGTGATATATGTGATTTAACTGGTAATAAAAGAATAACAGAAGTTAGATTAAAGTAAGTTATAAACAACAATTCATTCATTAGGTTAAATATATAGGTTAAAGCTGCTGAACGGCACTTGAATTTTTCCATTACAAAGACATACATCAGAATATAATGCTGGCATAACAGCTTAACAAACTGACCAATTAAATATTTGTTATTTAATATAAATCAAATGATATATATTTAAATAAAATTTTGGACATTTTGACCATATCCCATTATATATCATCTGAGGATGCCAATTTTTTGGCAAAATTTTCAGTTCATATCTTTGTAAATACTGAATCATTTTTGGACTATATTCTAATATGCCTTTTAGAGATTCAGCTTTCACAATATTTTAGTTTGCAATGGATTAAAAATCTCTCAAATGAAGATCAGAGACTGATAACAGTTTTTTTTATGTTTTTTTTTATTGTAGATGTATACCAAATGAACAGCATCCACATGCAGTAGCATTATACTTAATGGAGCCTAGTCCATGTAATTATATTTTAGGAGTGAGTATAATACCAGCATGTATCTACTACCAACATCTTGTAAATATACATTACCATCTAAAAAACAAAGTATTTACTAAACATTTTTCAATGAGACAAGTAAATTGATAGCCCTTTTCTGGTGGGTTTTTGATTCTGATTCACAGCAGTGAACTACATGTTAAGTTCCTCTTGCATGACACTGAATTGACATTTGATGAATATATAATAGTCTTGTAATCTGTATAGGGAGGTTCCGTGTTCGTTCCCTGTGTTGACCAAGAAAGTTTTCATCAGGATTTCCCGACATGGTCTCCCCTTTGCAATGGTGTAGGACAGAGGATCTGGCAAGGGACAAAATATTGTCGTTCGGATGGGACGAAAATCAGAGGTCCGTGTACAGATTGCGTACATATAAAACAATCCTTGACACTTGGAATTCGAAACAAGAGTAGGCTGTAACTTGCCGATTCAGGCAAAATTTCCCTCATAGCACACAGCATGGTGTATGCCCATTTTCATTACCCCAGTTGGTGCAGAAAATTAGGATGTTATACTCCATTTCGTTTTTTATACGCTCATATTTTCATGTGGACGTATATTGTCATCGCCACCGCCCGTCCACAATTTGTTTGTGGACACTCTACAGGTCACACTTCTTATCCGATTTTGACAAAACTTGAAATATAGGTTTATCTCAGAAAGATCTCGGTTCCTATCGATATTGGCATCTATCGGATTGAAACTTCATGGATTATGGACCCAGATTTTACGAAAATTCATCTGATTTTGATGAAACTTACAGTGTATGTTTATAACCCAAAGAAATTGGTTCCTTTTGATATTTACGCATATCGGATCATAACTTCCTGAATTATAGCCCTTGATTGTATGAAAAATCGCGTTTTTAGCTTGTGGTCCCTCTAGAGGTCACAATTTTTATCTGATTTAAAAAAACCCGTGTGAAAATATCATCGCTCCACCGTAATGATGGTCGAGTTCGAATTTCTTAAAATTCTGACGAAAACTGATGAACAAAATGGCTGCCCCTTGTATAACGCAAATGGTGAAAATATGTGGTATATCAAGGTTGTAGACCCTCTAGAGGCCACATTTTTTTCCGATTTTGATGCAACCTTAAATTTATGCTTATACCACAAAGATCTTGGTTCCTTTCGATATTCACGCATATCGGATCGTAACTTCCTGAAAAATGGCCCTTGATGATATGAAAAATCGCGTTTTAAGCTTGTGGTCCCGCTAGAGGTAACAATCTTTATCCAATTTAAAAAAACCTTTGAATATATCACCGTTCCAACCTAATGTTGGTTAGTTCGAATTTTGAAAACTTCCGGACAAAATGGCCGTCCCATGTACGCTAATGGTGTAAAAATATGGTACATCAAGGTTGTTGACTCTCTAGAGGTCACAATTTTCACCCGATCTTGGTTCCTTTTGATAATCGCACATTTCCGAACGTAACTTCCTGGATTATGGCCCCTAATTGTTTGAAAAATCGCATTTTTAGCTTGCTGATTCTCTAGAGATCACATTTTTTTTCCCTGTTTTAAAAAAACGTTTAAATATATCACCATTCCACCATAATGAAGGTTGAATTCGAATTTTGGGAAAATTGAAATGAAACTGCCCAACAAAATAACCGCTCTTTGTACGCAAATTGTGTAAAAGTATGTAATACGACGGGTGTGGACCCTCTAGAGGTTACAATTTTTATCCGATTTTGATGAAACTTGAAATATATGTTCATAACCCAAAGATCTGTGTTCCTTTTGATATTCGCGCATATCGGGAGGGGGGGGGACCACATGGCTAAGTGGGTAAGACGCTGGCTCACTAGCCTGGAGGTCGGGTGTTCGATCCCTGCATTGGCCGAGAAAGTTCATCCAGATTTTCCGACGTGGTTCCCCCATGTCAGTGATGCAGGACGGAGGGCCTGACAAGGACAGCTGTCTAGTCCTTCGGATGAGACGAAAAACCGAGGTCCCGTGTATACATTGGAATGCACGTAAAAAATCCCTTGGCAGTTGGAATTCGATATAAGAGTAGGCGATAGTGCCGCTGCCCGGGCAAAATTTCCCTCATATCACACTGTATGGCGTATTCCGGTCTTCATTAGCCCAGCATAGGAGCAGAACAGTAGGACGTTAAACCTCGTTTCATTTCGCGCATATCGGACCATATCTTAAACTTAAAACATATCTTTATATTCCAAAAATCTCTGTCCCTTTTGCTATATGCACATTTCAGACTATAACTTTCTGGATTATGGCCCCTGATTGTACAAAAAATCGTTTTTGTTTTTAGCTTGTTCTCTATCCATCTCTTGCAAAATATGGGCGTATCTTGCATGGCAACCGCTTGTTTTAGGCTTGTTCTCTAGCCATCTCTTTCAAAATGTGGGCGTATCTTGCCTGGCAGCCACTGATTGTAATCGGTTTAGAAATGAAATATTTACAGGTAAAGTAATATATTCTTATTTTTCAGATTGAATCACCTTTATTTTGTTCATTATTAATGAAAGCTGATGATGATGGTATTTTTACATTAGCTGATGTAAAAGGACTATAATTTGTTAATTAAAATTTGAATTTTTTTTCTGAAAGTCATTGTCATCAAGTCTCATAGTCAAATTTATCATATCAATAACTAGTAAACTTTACTTGATATATTCTTATTTTTCAGATTGAATCACCTTTATTTTGTTCATTATTAATGAAAGCTGATGATGATGGTATTTTTACATTAGCTGATGTTAAAGGACTATAATTTGTTAATTAAAATTTGAATTTTTTTTCTGAAAGTCATTTTCATCAAGTCTCAGTCAAATTTATCATTTCAATAACTAGTAAACTTTACTTGATTATTTCTTTAAAAAATATTCACATAATGCTGAACAAATTATTTCTCTAATAAAAATATTTTCAATATTTAGTGTAGTTTAATTTTAAATAAATTAAATGTAGGCAAATGTGACGTTACTTCCTGCTTTCATTATAACTATAAACACAAAATTTTGAAACTAAGGATTGAAATATGGTTATTTATATACATGTATCTGACTAAATAACTCCCAAGAAAGTTTACTCTTTGATTCCTCAAGTTAATATAAGACTGTCAGGGGGGTAGATGGCCGAATGGTTAGCATGTGCGCGCTGTATCATAAAGTCTGTCATTGAGTCAACTGGCGTGGTTTCGATTCCCGGGTTGTACGTGACAAGGAGTAGGGTCGTCTGTCCAACCTCATGGGTTTTCTCCGGGTCCTCCGGTTTCCTCCCACTGCTAAAGACCCCTAGGCGCAAGCGAATTGAACCATGTGTTAATCCCAAAGTGACCTAGTTTGTGTCGAGTAGACATTAAACCCCATCTCTCTCTCTTGCTGGAAGAGTTTTTGATTTTAGAGTATCTTCTGTGCCTTCCTCTCAATCATATATATAACCACATCCATATTCTATTATGAGATAAGGATTAATATCTGCTCCCGTCGAAAGTGATATCGCAGACAATCCACATATATGTCTTTCATTAAATCCTTTCTGTTCTTCTCTTGGAAGGGTCAAAGCAATCCAGTTAATCATTATATTCTCTAATTTATTCAGTAGAGTAAAAATTATTTAGTTAGTTTATTATATGTATGCCAAAAGAGAAAGTTGTGTTCATTTACTTTGGAGAGATACATGTGTATTATCCTTTAGTGACAAATAGGATCACAATCTAGTCCTGTATCTACCCAGACACATTATAAATTCATCCACTTTTTTCCATTACATATATGAATAATTTATAATGGGTCGACTGGATTTCTTTATATTCCTTTTCACTTTCTTTGAACAAGAAAATTAAATATCTTGAAAGTGGTCAATCTGTAGATTTTATCTTAAAAAATAGTAGGGGATATTCAAAAATGATACAAAACTGCGGAAATGCACTGCTGTTTTTATTAGAGGTAATCAGTGTATGTTAATAACAGGCCAATTGCCTACACATGAACAGTTCATATGGACGGCTTGTCTGACGGCCCCATTTCACTCGCAAAGATATACACTGTCAAACGTGAAAATGGACGTTTATGATTTTTGTCTTAATAATGAGTAATTGCTCCACCAATCCTCAGAAATTCAGCAATTCGTCGTGGCATGCTCCTAATCAACCGTCCAATCACGATTTGGGGCAATCTGACCCACTCCTCTTGGTGTGTTTAACATCAAAATGAGAAATAGAGCCGCCGAAATTGACACACGGGAGCGACTTTGATTGCAGCTCCAAGTCGGTGGAAAACGCGTTTGCCGGTCACCGCTTTGCGCTCAGTAACTCGGGCATCATATTGGCGCCCCCCCCCCACCACTCTGCTGCACCCCGACTGTTAAAATCCCCCATACGGCCCTGATTAAAGGGACAATAACACTCTTGCTGGCTTGAAAGCTCCAGAAAATAAATAATATCTCTATCTAAGTACTAGATGTTTAAGTGTCCTACCTGTTGTGTAAATTATCCATTACATCCTATTTTACTTGTCCAGAGGGTTCGAAAATATTTTTAAATCGAAGTATCATTTGAAAAGGTTTACGTCAGACGTTTCAAACCATTATGTTGAATTTTTCAAAAATTTTAAATAAGGTGTGTTAAGATGAAAGTTGTATCATCAATTAATTGAAATATTCTAAAATAGTACAATTTGTTGACCAGAATAAAGATTGGGACATATTATTCAGTTACAACAAGAGTGGTATTGAGCCTTTAAAGGAGAACGTTTTCGAAGCCTTCGTGGAAATCCAGCTCCTAGGGATTAAAATGGATTAAAAATGGGATTAAAATTGATTAAAAATGGGATTAAAGTGGATTAAATAGGATTAAAAATGTAACAATGAAGTTATAGATTGTTATGATAAGAATTTAAACTTTCATAACCCCCTTAATATGACTAATTAACTAACATTTTAACTTGTTTGGCATAGGACTAAGAAATAAAAGCAAATTAATTTAATTTCGTCAATAAGACACCCTTTCTAAATACTCGACTAAAGTTGATTCCTCTTCTTCGTATCTTCTTTTTAATTCCTGGATCCGGCTTTGGACATATTTATGTCTCTTCCTTGGTGGTTCCTGTCCCACTGCATACTGTGCAATTCTAATTTTATTAATATTTTGCTCTTGTAAAAATGCGACCATTTTAAAAAAACATTCGGATGGGGTTTAACAACTAGCTTCTTGATCATTCAATGTCATCCTTCCAGAGTGAACACTACTTGGATGATTTGATGATATATTCATCATTAGTTGCCAATTGGTGAATAAAATTCAAAGTGAACATAAATTCATAAAATCTTTAAAACCGTTAATTGGACCCTAATAAGAACATGCCTCTCTTCAAACGAAAGCCGAGAAGTAGATATCTGTGCCTTCGTGGGAAGGATTAATTTTGGTCACGCTCTGTAACGGCACCTTCGAGGGAATACACCCAGGAGCCCATATTGATAACACCAATATTAATTTGTGTTTTTAATGTTGAATATTGCACAATGTCTGTGTGTGTGTGTGGGGGGGGGGGGGCGTTTGTGGATGGTCCTTATCGAGGACACACATAAGGATTTAAACCTTCTATTTGCGGACATGGCCCGAACCGAGGACGTCCTCGATCAGTCCTCGATTAGAACTGGCTATCCAGGCATGCTCAGAAGCCCCAAAATAGATATATCTGTAAAAATCACTTGATTATAATTCATACCTCGATAAAGCGGTTCTGTACCGTCGGGGTGTATCGGTGTGTTTAGCGTTTTTTATCAAGAAAAATTGTAGTGTGTATCGGCTAAATTTAAGATGTCCTCGTTTATGCCAATTAATACAAGGTCCTCGGTTAATGTTTACACAACACACACATAAATGGTCACGTGACGGTCAACTCTCAGAGTGACGAACGTCACTTTTGAATAGTAAATGAAAACTAATACTACACAATAATAAATATATTTGTGGTACGTGGTGTCTTACAATCGGCAACAGATAAATACACATGATTTCAACAAGGAAATATCATCATGCTCAAGAAATCCGAAATTATTGTCCTCACCGCTAAACTATTTACTTTTTAAAAGACAAGAGTGCCATCCTTTCAGAGGGGTATTTACTTTTTAAAAGACAAGAGTGCCATCCTTCCAGAGGGGGGGGGGGATATTTTAATATTGTTGCTCAAAATTTCACCTATTATTTCTTTGATTTAATCGATAAGATTCGTCATGGCCTTTGCTCTATTAACACACAGGGGTGTGATGGCAGTAAGTCCATAGTTCAATCAATTCAATTTGATTCCTTTAATCCAGTTTAATTTAAGGAGATAAAGAAGATAATCTGTCAATCCAAACCAACATCATGTTCTTTGGACATCATACCGACACATTTCCTGCTAGAAATTCGAATGCAATTTTGCCCATTATTAGTAACATCATAAACACGAGTTTGCAGCCTGGAATAGTACCGGAATGTTTTAAAACTGCAGTAGTCAAACCACTTATACAATTACTGAAAAATTGCAGTAGTCAAACCACTTATACAATTACTGAAAAACTATCGACCAGTATCAAATCTGACCTTTTTGTCCAAAGTTATAGAGAAGGTTGTTAAGCAGCAGCTTCTTAGTCATTTACAAAAATTTCAACTCCTTGAGGAGTTTCTGTCTGCTTATCGCTCTAGTCACAGCACTGAAACAGCCCTACTATGTGTTCTGGATGCCACACAATCATCTGTTGACGAAGGAAAGATCGGAGTGTTGGTCATTTTGGCTTTATGGGCAGCCTTCGATACTATTGACCACGACAACCTACTAGATCGACTGTCATCAGATTATGGACTAACTGGATACATTCTAAAATGGTTTTCATTCTATCTCACTGGACGATTTCAGTATGTTGAAGTCAACAACTTCTCATCAAGTTATCATCAACTAGTATGTGATGTTCTTCAAGGATCCGTTTTGGGCACGGTAATCTTCACAATGTATACAAAGATGTTGGGTAAATTTATTCATGGTCACAATCTGCTGTATCATTTATATGTTGATGATTCTCAGTTCCTTGACAGCTTCAAGCCACTTCCGATCGATCAAATTGTCGTCATCATGAATCTGGAAGGGTTTCTCGATAATGTCAAAATGCTTAAACAGAGTTTCTTCTCGTGGGTCCTGCCAACAGACTTAAGAAATGTGACATACGATCGATCAAAATTGGAAACACCGAAATTCATGTGCCTAGAACTGTAAAACATTTTGAAATTCTTGTCGATTCTCGTCTAAGTTTTCAAAATCATGTGAACAACTTCTATAAGATATGGCCTTATACCATCTCCAAAGGATATGGTTCATTCGTCATCTATTAAAAGAAGACGTTGCTGCAACCGTAGTCCGATTCTTCGTCCTCTCTAGAATCGACTATTGTAATTCGGTTACTAACTGGTATTACGAACGAACAGATTTCAAAAACTCCAAAGATTACAAAACCGCGCTGCTTACATTGTCACAAAAACTAAATCAAGATCACACATCACCCCAGTCTTGAACAAATTCCATAGGCTCCATGTTCGATAAAGGATCAACTTTAAAATCTTATCGTTAACCTATCGATCGATAAACAAATCCGCGCCAGGTTATCCTTAAAATCTAGTATCATTGTATCAACCTAAACGACCAT